TATGTTTTTGCCCAGTAAATTTGAGTGGGTCGCCATAAGCTGTGGTCATGAATAGTGGGCCTGCTGTAGACCATCTTACACAATACAATAAGCTATAACTGGACAAGCTTTTAACCTTTCACTGTCATGTACAGCCCAGGTCATTATAGCTTTCAAAAGCAATACTCAATATCAGATGAAAATCCTAATAAACTATCAAGTTAACGTACATTAACCCTGGCACATTTTTATAAAAAACCTTTTGTGATGGTTCATAGTTTCTGTGCCTTGAGTTGTACAGTCTGTTTCTGAATGGTTTTCAGTTCCATGTGTGGCACTGTTTCTTAAAAATTTTATTTATGTGTGGTTCTAGTGCCAAAAACTACATGTGATTTAAAACATAAGTTTCTTTTAAGTTTAAGGCTCTTTTTTTTGTAATATACATTACTATTTGAGAAGATTAAAGTCTCATGATTTTCAGCTCATTGAAGAACATGTTCCCAGTCCTCAAAATCTTTATGTATATGTTCACACTAGTAAAAACAAACCAATGATTGATAGACTTTTACAGTTAACATATGTACTTTTAAGTTGAATTTTATCTACACTGGCAGTCATTTGAATAGTTAGTTTGATAATTTTTTTCCCCACCATTTGATTAGAAGTTTTATTTCAATACCTTCTTGTATCACAGCCTTATCAGCAATCTTTGCTCCCACCACTGAGGCCAGCATTGCAAACATATCACTGAGGTAATAGTCAGCAGGGATATCAGCTAAAAGAAAGAAACAATTCTTCTGTTAAAGTTCATAAACTTTTAGCCCAAGATATCTGACATGAGCTAAATTTTAGAATAAATATCTGAACCACACACAAATGAATTATTCATGTTTCTAACTATTATCAAGTTGTAGATATTGATATCTTAAGGTAATAACCTATTTCAACTTGGTATCTCCATTCTTTTTTTAAAGATCACATGAAAACATTAATTCATAAGAAATTACCTGATCTTACTCTAAACAACTATAATTGAAATATCCAGGTTTATAATTTTGTTACAATACAAATTTTATTAACATCTGTTTTGGATAAAGCAATAAAGAGAAATCCAAAGTGCTAAACCCTAATTTTGATACACCTCCAAACTACAGCTAGGTAATTTATTAAATTAATTATGAGACCTTATATATGGGTTCAATTCCCATTGCCATCAGATTTGCTTGTACTGTTACAGCAAAGTTACTAAAGCTATCTGCTACTGTCACAAATTTTGATCTGCAGCAAATTTTTTTTCTTTCTTTTTGAGCTGCTGACTAGAAGGATGGCAACCAGATGGCAGCACCCACTGCCAACATTTTCTTTTGTTTTTACATATCATGAGAAACATTGTACTAATCAATTAATGAAGTCTTTAATTAATTGATTATTACAGTGTTTCTCATGATTGCCCAGCTCTACTTCCAACTGTAATTTTGGGGGTAGGGAAGTAGATATGTTCAAGATTCTCACAGGCACAAATACAACCTGTTAACATATTAAACATTGGCAGTGTCAAAAACTATAAAATTCATCCAACTACACTTTTTGTTTTACAATTTTCAAAGTTCTAAACTAACAACATCCTAAACACATCATCTGAAAGCTCCCTTTCACCTTACACAAATTCTTACTGATAATTTGAAACTATTGGAATGTTACACTTGTGAAGAATTTAATTGTTGGATTGAGTTTAGATTTTGGGGGTGAGGTGTTTTTTGAAACAGGTTTTCTTAATTTCTAAAAAAAAAAGAGGACATATTCCTTTTATTACAAGATATAGTGAGATAAATAATAACAGTTTTAACAATATGCAATATATTTTATTACAAAATTTATTTCATTAAAATGGATTAGCATCATTAGTTCTATGATTATATTGTGTGTGTGTGTGTGTGTGTGTGTGTGTGTGTGTGTGTG